AGACCATAAAGCACTATCCAAACCAAAGTTATCGTTATTCACCACCAGATGGTGATCATGTCTTATTTAAAACAAAATTCTAATGTCTTATTTGGGGGCCAGCCAATTGACTGCTAAAAATGATCAGTAGCAAATCAGGGTGGTCTGAATAAAATGTTGGTGATTTTTAAGTAGGTTCAAACAGAACACAAGCAATAAAAAATAGGTTCTGCCTGACGACTTCTAAAGGAACTGATTTCTCCATGTAAACATTTGCTAACTCTGAAAATACAAGAAAAAGACAATGGATGTGTTCTATCAAGTCTTGTATCACTTAAGAAACCATTCATTCCACACTGAATTTCTTGAATATACAGGGAAAAACTTCTACTCAGCAAAATGGTGACATTAAGCACTTTAGGAAAAAAATTTTTTTTTTTTTTTTTTTTTTGAGACAGAGTCTCCCTTTGTTGCCCAGGCTAGAAGTGAGTGCCTTGGCTCTCGCCTAGCTCACAGCAACCTCAAACTCCTGGGCTCGAGTGATACCTTCTGCCTCAGCCTCCCGGGTAGCTGGGACTACAGCATGCGCCACCATACCGTAATTTTTCTATATATATCAGTTGGCAATTAATTTCTTTCTATTTATAGTAGATACGGGGTCTCGCTCTTGCTCAGGCTGGTTTTGAACTCCTGACCTTGAGCAATCACGCCGCCTCGGCTCACCACAGGCATGGTTATTACTTCAGGCGTGAGCCACAGCGCCCAGCCAGGAAAAAAAATTTATATTATGAAAATGTTGAAACAAAGCCCAAAATATGCATTCTAGGAGTTGTTTGTAAGAAAAAAGAAAGCCAAAAATAGAGAGGCTAGTACCATAAAACCCCATGCACTCATCACCCCACTTCAAGAATCATGATTAAGGCCAGGCGCGTGGTGCTCAGCCTGAATCCTTAAGCTCTCTGGGAGGCCGAGGCGGGCGGATTGCTCAAGGTCAGAGTTCAAAACCCCTCTGAGTGAGACCCGTCTCTTACTACATAAAATAGAAGAAATTAATTGGCAACTGATATGATAAACCACAAAAAATTAGCCGGGCATGGTGGCGCATGCCTGTATCCCAGCTACCTCGGGAGCATGAGGCAGTAAGGATTGCTCCGAGCCCAGGAGTTGAGTTGATGTGAGCTAGGCTGAGCACGGCACTCACTCTAGCCTGGACAAAAAAGCGGATCTGTCTCAAAAAAAAAAGAATCATGATTAGAAGAACAAGAAACTTTTTCTTCTCCAATGGATCATTTTAAAGCAAATTCCAGATATCATGATTTCATCCATAAATACTTCAGTGTTTATCTCTAAAAAACAAAATAACCATAATACCATTATTACCTCTTTGAAAATAATCATAATATCATTATGGTATTAACTATAAATAATCATTTAAATAACTATAATACCATTATTACCACCTTTTAAAAATCAATAACTCCTTAATGTTATAAAATTTCTAGTCAAAATGGGCATTTATTGAAACCTTAAAATCTGTACCCCTATAATATGCCAAAATAAAAAAAAATTAAAAAAAAATTCTAGTCAATTAGACAATTTTTTAATATCTTTAATTAACCAAGAAATGGAATTATGTTTTATTGTTACCTCTTAGCAGTTGCTGGCAAGGACCTTGTCTGTATCCCCTCAGCATTTATGATTCTAGTGCAGAAATGTGCAAGTCTTTGCCTGAGGATTTTCTCTGGACTGCAGGGCAGGGAAGTTAACCCTTCTTGGCAACAGCCCTTAATTAGTAACCTACAGAAGCTCCTTTACCCCTTGGTTGAGATAAATCTGACATACGACCTACACTGTCTTCCAGAGCTCAAAAGGAGGATTTAGCCCTAGTTGCTCATAGTGGTAACTTACTTGATAACACATCCTGTATTGGCTTTTTGTCCCCTTCCCCATCTCACTTCTCCCCTCCCACACTTCCTGGCATCTTTCCTGACATCACTTCCCAAATAAACTACTGGCACTCACATTTTTGTCTCAGGGTCTGCTTCTTGGGGAAACCAACATAAGACAACCTCTTGGTTTTGAATGAAAGCGAGACATTCCTAAGAAAAATGTAAGCATAAAAATTTCCGTTCAAGGAGTTTACAGACAATCCAAAATATACAGAAAGGTCCCACTTAAAAGAATCCTTCCTCATAAAGGTTAGAGATAGCTGAGATCTTAACTACATTTTAAAATGAGTTCCATCAAAATTATTCAATTGTGCCAGGTACAGTGGCCCATGCCTTTAATCCCAGCTACCCAGGAAGCTGAGGTGGGAGGAGGACGGCTTGAGCCCAGGAGTTCAAGACCACCCTGTGCAACATAGTAAGACCCCATCTCAAACAAAACAAACAAAAAAATTACTCAGTTAAGTTGAAAAATTAACATCCTCATTACTCCTCATTGTTGGTGAAGAAGCATCATTATCTCAATATTTAGATCTTATGTTAATAAAATCCAACATAATAAAAAATAAGAAAACCAGTGGCTTAAACTTCTATACTTTAGAGAAAAACAATGTTCCTAGGAGTGGTTTACTAAGACTGGGTCCCTTGAAAAAACATTTCAAAATGAAATTACCAAGTTTTTAAATGTATATATGACTTTGAATGAATCTTTTAAACTATTGTTTGTCTCAACCAACAACAATACAAAAGAATACAAATGTGATTTTTAAAAAATCAACTTGGAGTTACCATGCTAACAGTAGTCCCCTCTAGCTAACTCCTGCTCCTCTCCTCTTCTAAAACAAGTTCCTTGCACTCAGTCTCTATTTCCTCACCTGTCCCATTTGTTTCTAAACCATTATAACTTTACTTCCACTAGTTAAATTAAATGGACTCTTTTGCCTTTGCCTTAACTTGTCCTTTGTCTTAACAGCATATGACACTACTGACCATCTCTTCCTTCTTAAAACCTGGGCATTCTGTGACACCACTGTTCCAATTTCTCTTTTTATCTCTTTGCCCCTTTTTGGATTCCTTTGCAAACCCTATGCTCCTGCTCTATCCTTGAATGTTAGTTCCTTTCATTTTAGGATTTCATTTCTTTTGTCCATAAGTTATCTCATCCACCCCTTTGCTTCAATTTAAATATACTATTGTCTCACTGTGCTGGTTAAGGATGTGTTCAAATAATAGAAAACCTTACCAGAGTGGCTTCACAAAGAAAGGGTTAGTTTTTCTCACATACCAAGAAGTCCAGAGTAAAAAGTTACTAGTTTTCATGTAACGGCTCAACAAATCCATCATACTGAACTTCTTGGAGTTCTCAAACATACTATGCTATTTCTAGCTTCCAGGCCTTAGCACATGTATCCCACCTCTTCTCATCCTCACGGTTCAGCTTGGTCGTTGCTTTCTTTGGAAATCATTCTTTTATCTCAGCAATATCAGCATTAAGTGCCCCTGCTGGATATGCCAAAATGATCCTAACATCTACTTGTGCATCACCTTTTATCATAAATGCCTGTCTGATGAACTATATCCCACATTAAACAGGCTTGTTTCTTCAGCACCTAGGACAGTGCCTAGCACATACGATGCATTCAACAAAGACTGTTCAATAAATGGATCTGGCCTTTAAAAAAGACAAAAAAAACATTTTTCATAAACATGAACTTCCCCTAATCTAAATAACTGATTAGCAAATGAGTAAGCAATAACACATGTTTCTGCTCATACTTAAATAGATAGCAAAAAAGAACAAATTTAGAAAACCACTAAAGCAAACATGTAAAACAGAATATCCATTTTGAAGATGTGCATTTCTAACACTTAATCAAGTATGCTCATGCTAGCAACTTATGAATAGCCAATCACAAACTGGCTTTTATGAAAACTGAACTTTTAGGACATTTAGTGGGCTTCCTAACACATGGTAAGAGGACAAGATAAAGCAAAAACCAAAACAGAAGAGACTATGACTAAATAAATGGTTCCCCTGTCCTCTCTTGGCAGTCACTCACACCACTCCTGGCCTCAGGAAACCATTCATCTGCTTTCCATCACTACAAATTTGTCTTTTCTAGAGCTTCATATAAATGAACTCATATAGTATGTACCCTTTTGGGACAGCTTTTTTCACTTAGCATAATGTTTTTGAGATTCATACTTTTTATCATTAGTGGTTGCTTTATGTGAATATATCACAATTTGTTCATCTAATCATCAATTGATGAATGTTTGAGCTGTCTCTAGTTTGGAGCTATTATTAATAAAGCTGCTATGAACATTTCTGTACAAGTCTTTGTGTGGAGATACATTTTTATTTCTCTTAGGTAGATAGTAGCGGAGTTGATGGGTTATATGGTAAAACATAGATTTAACTTAATAAGAAAATCCCAAACATTTTGCCAAAGTATTAAATAGTTGTACCATTTACCTAGAATTATTGTATAAGGATTCCAATTGTTTTACATCCTCACCAATTCTTGAGGTGTCAGTCATTTTTAAAAAATGTTTTCTACTTCCTTGGATGGAGTGTTCTGGAAATGGCAATAATGTTGTTTGCTGATAAAACTGTTCATGTCTTCTATATTATGTTTTTCTGTCTAGTTGCACTATCAATTGCTGGGAGGAATGTTGAAATTTCCAATTATTACTATGGATTTATACGTATTTTTTTCAGTTGTCAGTTTTCACTTCATGTATTTTAAAGCGTTGCTATATTAGTGAAAAGACTGTCGGAATTATCATATCTTCCTGATGAATAGCATTATGAAATATCCCTATCTACAGGGTATTCCAAAGTTACGATACACAGGGAAAATAAAAAATTGTAGCTAATTGTACCTTTATTTACAAAATACTACAAAATATTACAAAATTTTTCCTTTGTATGCAAAGTAAAAAAAGGTACATTTAGCTACAATTTCCCTATGTATGGTGATTTTGGGGACACCCTGTATCTCTATTAATATTACTTTTCCTGAAGTCTCCATTTTCTGATATTAGTATAGCCATTCCAGCTTTCTTGTGATTAGTTTTGCACAATCTATCATTTTCTCACCTTTTACTTTTAACCTACATCTTTATGTTTAAAGTAGACTTTTGTAGACAGGACATAACTGGATCTTGCTTTTCTATTCACTCTGACAATCTCCATCTTCTAACTTAATTTTAACTAAAATAACACATGTGGTTAGTAGTGACTTTTTTTTTCAATTTTTTTTTTTTTTTTTTTTTTGAGACAGAGTCTTGCTTTATTGCCCAGGCTAGAGTGAGTGCCATGGAGTCAGCCTAGCTCACAGCAACCTCAAACTCCTGGGCTCAAGCGATCCTTCTGCCTCAGCCTGCCAAGTAGCTGGGACTACAGGCATGCACCACCATGGCCAGCTAATTTTTTCTATTTGTGGTAGAGACAGGGTTTTGCTCTTGCTCAGGCTGGTCTCGAACTCCTGAGCACAAACAATCTACCCGCCCTGGCCTCCCAGAGTGCTAGGATTACAGGCATGAGCCACTGCCCCCAGCCCAGTAGTGACATATTGAAGAGAGTTGGTTTAGACCAAGGGTTAGCAAACTACTGCCCACAAGGTAAATGCAACCTGCCATTTGTCTTTGTATTGCCTGTAAACTATGAATGGTTTCACATTTTTAAAAGGGTTGGGGTGAGAAATCAAAGGAAAAATAATATTTTGTGACACATGACAATAATAAGAAATTCATATTTCAGTGTTTATAAAGTTATATGGGAACACAACCATACTTATTTATTTACATAATATCTGTGGCTACTTTCGTGCTATACTAGTAGAATTAAACAGTTTCAAAAGACACCATATTGACCACAAAGCCTAAAATATTCTTTGATTCTCTGAGATCTTTACAAAAAAAACTTAGCCAACCCATAACTAAAATTATTTATATTTATTACAATAACTAATACAATTGAATTAAAATCTATAATCCTACCATTTATTTTGTGTATATATACATTTCTTTGTTCATTTCTTATTTTTTCTTATCTTCTTTTGGATTAACTGAATTAAAATGAACTTCATTTAACATCCACTACTGCCTATACCTTTAATTTTTAGTGGTTGTTTTGAGTTTTACAAAACACATTTTTTTTTTTTTGAGACAGAGTCTTGCTTTATTGCCCAGGCTAGAGTGAGTGCCATGGAGTCAGCCTAGCTCACAGCAACCTCAAACTCCTGGACTCAAGCTATCCTCCTGCCTCAGCCTCCCGAGTAGCTGGGACTACAGGCATGTGCCACAATGCCCAGCTAAATTTTTCTATATATATTAGTTGGCCAATTAATTTCTTTCTGTTTGTAGTAGAGATGGGGTCTCATTCTTGCTCAGGCTGGTTTCGAACTCCTGACCTCGAGCAATCCGCCCACATCGGCCTCCCAGAGTGCTAGGATTATAGGCATGAGCCACCAGGCCCGGCCAAAACACATCTTTAATTCAACAGTCTGCCATCAAATAAAATTCTCCCATTTCACATACAATGTGAATACTTTTTACACCCTTACAACGCTATACATACTGCTATGTCCCTGCTTTCATCCTTAGCACTACAGTTGTCATACGTTTTATTTCTTCACAGTGTTGTGAAATTCATAATACACTGTGACTTTTGCTTTAAACAGTCAATTCTCTTTTTTAAAGTATTTTAAAATTAGGAAAAGTGGTATTTCACACTTACATATTTATCATTTCTTGCATTCTTCATCACTTTATCTAGATCAAAGTTTCCACTTGACCCAATTTTCCTTTTATCTGAAGACATTTCTTGTAGTACAGGTCAGCTAGTTTATAACATATTATTCTCTGGCTTTATTCTCCTGAAAAGGTTTTCATTTTAGCATTTTTTTTTAAGTATAATCTCCATTTTATGTTTTTCCAACAGATAGTTTTTCTTCAGTCCTCAAAGACTCAACTCCTTACATAGGCTTTGGTGGAGGTCTTGGGGCAGCACCCGCAGGTCTAAATCTGGGTGGAGGTGTTCGGTTCTTGCGGGCTTCCCGAGAAGGATTTCTGACTACCTTGCTGTGAATGGCACAACTCACACAGTAATGTAGCTTCACATACAGCTTGGGAAGCACATAGGCATCAAAGACACTCGCTTCAGATATGTCCCTGACAGCTCCAGCCTCCACTATGTTCCGAATGACAAACTTCTTTATGGCCTTGTCTTTAGGCACGCATCGGGCGCAGTACGTGCAGTGAATAGGCTGCACGTGGCCACGGCCCTTTTTGGCACGACCATTGTTCCTTCTTTTCTTTGTCATCTTGGAAACGAGGACACGAAAAAGGTCATTTTAGCATTTTTGAAGGATATTTTGCTAGATATAGAATTATATATTAACAGTTCTTCTTCATTTAGTACTTTAAAAATGTTCATTATCCCCTAATTTATATAGTTTCTGACAAAAAGTCTTCTTTGTTCTCCTGCACATAACAACGTGTCATTTTCTTAGGTTGCCTTCAAGATTCTCTATCACCAGGCACTGTGGCTCACACCTGTAATCCCAGCACTTTGGGAAGATAAGGAAGGAGGATAGCCTGAGGCTAGGAATTCGAGACCAGCCTGGGCAACATAGTAAAACCTAATCTCTACAAAATAAAAAATTAGCCAGGCATGGTGGCACACAACTATAGTCTTAGCTACTCAGGAGGCTGAAGCAGAAGTATCACTTGAGCCCAGGAATATGATGCTGCAGTGAGCAATGATGGTCCCATTGCACTCTAGCCTATGCAACAGAGCAATACCCTGTCTCAAAAAAAAAACAAGAAAAGAAAAGAAAAAGATTCTCTATCACTGGTTTTTGGCAATTGTTATGTTTTCAATATCTTTGCCTATGTTTTGTTGAGATTGTTGGATCTCTGGGCATGGGTTTATAATTTTCATCAAATTTGAAAATTTTGAGCCACTATTTCTTTCAATATTTTTGGTTCCATCCTCATTTTAGGATCTCAGATATGCTTTATTCTTGGGCCTCTTTTGATACTGTTTTACAGACCAGTAAAACACTTGATTTTTTTTTTTAGTTCTTTCTCTCTCTGCTTCATTTTAGAATCAAGTCTACTACTATGTCTTCAAGTTGACTAGTTTTTTCTTCTACATCGTCCAATCTTTTGCTGACTTCAATTTCAGATGTTGTTATTTTCGTCACCAGACATTCCATTTGGTCCCCTTTTTACATCTCTTATTTCTCTCATTATGCATATATTTTTCTTTAAATACTCTTACTAATTAAAACACCTATTTTAACATCCTTGTCTGCTAGCTCCAGCATCTCTGTCATTTCATTTTTTTTGGATGTAAACAAATGGAAATCTTTGTCATTTCTGAATCTGCTTACTTTTAGACAGATTTTTCTCCAAGTACTGAATAACAATAGACTAGTTTCTCAACATGTCTAGTAATTTCAGCTTGGTTGCTAGAAAATATCAATGTTAAAATGCTACAGTTGAATGTCTGGATTTTGCAATCATTCTGTAAAAAGAGATGGGTTTTGTCTTGGCAGGTATTTATTCTCAGAACCATATGATCTTAAGGCTTTTTCTGTCAGCTATGTTACAATGAGCCCACTCAGTTTCTCCACTGAATGCTCTGGTACTCCAAAGAACCCTTCATTCTGGTCATAGTTCAAACATCTCCAGTATAGACACTGGGAAATGTTCTCCTAATAACTCCCTGGATAGTCAATGCCTAGCCTCATGGAGTTTAACTGTATGCATATATGACCCAGTATTCAGCAAAGACTCAAGGTGGCCCCTATACAGATTTCTGGAGTTCTTTTTTTCACATAGCTCCCTTCTTTTCAGAACTGGGCCCTGAAACTTCTAGCTGCCTGAGCCTCCCAGACTCTCAATAGATTCCTTCTCCCTGTTTCTGTGGTCCTGAACCTGCTTTCAGGCTGGAAGCTATGGTCATCACTGGGCTCACTTCATTATTTCCCCTGTCACAGGGATCATAGATAGTCCTGATCTGCCTTGGTATATCTAGAAAGAGATGGCTCATATATTTGGGTCCACTTTACTAGCTGTTTATGACAAGAGGGTAAAAACACTTTATTACTCCATAATGGCAGAGACCGAATTCTTAATTTTTAAAGCAACATTAAAAACGTGCATGTGTATTTGAGCAGATTATGTGAATTTAAAGAAAAGTGAATTAGATCTATTTTTAAAACATAAACTATGAACTACCTAAAAAGAAATAATCTGCATATTGTACAGTAGTTTTCGACATTTCCATAAAGGGAAAAGATCCTTAAAACTTTATAGAGTAGCTATTACTATCTCCATTATGAAAAAGCTCAGAATTTAATAAATTGCCCTGGCCAGGCACAGTGGCTCACACCTGTAATCCTAACACTCTGGGAGGCCGAGGCAAGCAGATTGCTCAAGGTCAGGAGTTCAAAACCACCCTGAGCAAGAGGGTGGTTTTGACTCCTGACCTCTTGCTCAGGGTGGTTTTGAACTCCACCCCATCTCTACTAAAAACAGAAAGAAAATTAATTTGCCAACTAAAATACATAGGAAAAAATGTTAGCCGGGCATGGTGATACATGCCTGTAGTCCCAGCTACTCAGGAGGCTGAGCAGGAGGACTGCTTGAGCCCAGGAGTTTGAGGTTGCTGTGAGCTAGGCTGATGCCACGGCACTCTAGCTGGGGCAACAGAGTGAGACTCTGTCTCAATCAGTCAATCAATCAATCAAACAAACAATAAATCGCCCCAGTCAGAAAAATATCAAGTGGCAAAGCTAGTAAGATTCCACTCCAGCTAATACTGAAGACCATGGCTGTTACTCTATACCATTTTGCTTCCCACTAATTACTCACCACAGATATAGTATTTTAAATAGAGATTTGGTTCACCAAACTAAATTTATTAAAAAGTCTCCTGTGAAAAAAAAAAAGAAAAAGAAAAAAATAAAATAAAAAGTCTCCTGTGTTTTAGTTAGTAAGGTTATTAACTATCAATCAGAATATCTGATAGGCATGGGGAAAAGAAATAACCACATTGAATTAAGAAAATTTCATATAAAGACAATGATACATGAGATTGTTAGCCTAGGTGACACTGTGATAAACAAATGTGTATTTGTTTAAATTTAAAATTGTCATTTAAAAATATTTAAAATGGTTTATGGACCCTTGGTTATTATTCACTCAACCCAGTAGATCCCTAAGGAACACATGTATTTCCTATTTCATGTACTTAGACATTATATTCACAGTCTACTGTTAGACACCACTAGAATGTAAGTTCCATAAAAGTTTTATTTGTAAGACCTAGAGAAGGATTTAGCATATAGTATGCACTCAATATACATTGGGGAAAAAAAGGTCCCCATAATTTTAGTTATCTAAAAGTATTATGATGGAGGTATATTATATCAAGATGGTAGCTGACCCTCCTGCCCAAATCCCTTAATAATGACAATAAAAAAGAGAAAAAAAGTTATGTTCTTGTGTTTCCAAAAAATATGGAGTAATAGGGAATGAATTTACCCTTACTACCTGACATACTAAACAATATATGAAGCAAGACACTCAATATGTTAACCAACAGCCAACAGAAGACTGAATAGTGGTACATGAGAGATGAGAAACAAAGAAGATAAACCCTACAACTGCCCCAATTACAAACCAGGGGAAAAAAGCAAGAGGTCTGGGAAGCTGAGGCAGGTGGATCATTTGAGCTCAGGAGTTCGAGACCAGCCTGAGCAAGAGCGAGACCCTGTCTCTACTAAAATTAGAAAGTAATTAGCTGTACAATTGAAAATATATAGAAAAACTTAGCTGGGCATGGTGGTGCATGCCTGTAGTCCCAGCTACTCGGGAGGCTGAGGCAGTAGGATTGCTTGAGCCCAGGAGTTTGAGGTTGCTGTGAGCTAGGTTGACATCATAGCACTCTAACCTGGGCAACAGAGTGAGACTCTATCTCAAAAAGAAAGAAAGAAAAAAAAAATCAGAGGGAGGACCAGTCAAAAACCTGGCAATCTCTCTGAGTAAAAGAGATGATGTTAGGAATCAAGAAGGCAGCCAGGGCCGGGCGAGGTGGCTCACGCCTGTAATCCTAGCACTCTGGGAGGCCGAGACAGGTGGACTGCTCAAGGTCAGGAGTTCGAAACCAGCCTGAGCAAGAGCAAGACCCCGTCTCTACTATAAATAGAAAGAAATTAATTGGCCAACTAATATATATATTAAAAAAAAAAAAATTAGCCAGGCATGGTGGCACATGCCTGTAGTCCCAGCTACTCAGGAGGCTGAGGCAGGAGGATTGCTTGAGCCCAGGATAGGCTGATGCCACGGCACTCACTCTAGCCTGGGCAACAAAGCGAGACTCTGTCTCAAAAAAAAAAAAAAAGAAGGCAGCCAGGCCTGGTGGCTGACACCTGTAAACCAAGCATTTTAGGAGGCCAAGGTGGGAGGAATGCTTGAGGCCAGGAGTTCTGGGCAACATAGCCAGACCCCACCTCTACAAAAAAATAGAAAAACTCAGCCAGGCACAGTGGCACATGCCTGTAGTCCCAGCTACTCAGGAGATTGAGGTGGGAGGACTGCTTTAGCTTGGGAATTCCAGGTGGTGGTGAGCTATGATCAAACCACTACACTTCAGACTGGGTGACAGAGTAAGTCTCTGTCTCTAAAAAAATTAAAAAAAAAAAAAAAAAAAAGTTTTTGTTTTTTTTGTTTGTTTGTTTGTTTTTTTGAGACAGAGTCTCACTCTGTTGCCCAGGCTAGAGTGCCATGGCGTTTTCTAGCTCACAGCAACCTCAAACTCCAGGGTGCAAGCAATCCGTCTGCCTCAGCCTCCCAAGTAGCTGGGACTACAGGCACACACCACCATGCCCGGCTAATATTTTCTATATATGTTTTTAGTTGGCCAATTAATTTATTTCTATTTTTAGTAGAGACAGGGTCTCGCTCTTGCTCAGGATGGTCTCAAACTCCTGACCTTGAGCAACCCCCCCACCTTGGCCTCTCAGAGTGCTAGGATTATAGGCATTAGCCACCATGCCCAGCCAAAATTAAAAATTTTTTTTTAAAAAAGAATCAAGAAGGCAAAGGTGACTAGGTGACACTCACACAGTAGAGTGTCTAAAAGGAGAGCACTGCAGAGAGCACTCTGGAAATCTGCAAAGGGTCTCCTCTGAGCCTTCAGCAATGAGCTAATCAGTACACATATGTGAAGAAATTAACCAAGGTTAGGGAAAAAACTACTACTTGGGCCCTGAAACTAACACAGGGACCTTCTAGGAGATTGGGAGATTTTGCAAGAGGCACTGCTACAGGAAGGGAGCTACTTTGGGTCCCACACACTCCCTGCGAGTTAAGCAGCTGCAGCAAGGTGCCATTTTAGGGTCCTGCCCCAAGAGAATGCATACTGCGCTGGGGCTGAGGCACAGGCTCCACAAGTGACACACAAGCTACCATCGTAAGGGCTGAGCTGTGAAACCAGCCTAGCTTCGACACCACCCTAACCCCCCAACATAATGCTACATCACTCAGAACAAGAGACAGGATTGCCCAGCCCAACATCACTGGCATCTGAGCACTCCTCCCAGGTACCTGACATTGGGCCTATCAACCCTGCAACAACCACCACAGCTAGCATCTACCAACATGTCAC